GTCTAGGGCCTTTATTTTACAAATATTAGTTGTAAACTCCCCCCATATGTGTTCATTATGCTTTAGATAACGTTTCTTTTTTTAAAATAACATTTTTATTTTATACTGATTTACTTAAAAAGTTTGTGTACATTGCTTTTCACACAGGATCTTTCACATTTCCTCCCCTCTCCCCATCAAATTGTGTGAACCTATGATTATCACCGTGCCCATCCTCACCCCTCTGCTCCTACCTTCTCCCACTTGGATCCTCATACATGTTTTACTAGTTAATCTTTCTGTTGTATTCTATAATGGTCTTAAACAGGATTTATCCTTATGGGACTGAGTTCACTTAGCATTATGCTCTCCAGACCCTACCAAGTTAGATAGTAATTTTCAAAATCATTGTTCCTGCATGCTGTGTAGTATTTCCATTGTGTGAACATACCATAATTTCTCATCCATTTGATTGTGGTTGGACATTTGGGCTGTTTCTGTTTTCTTGCGATGGTGAAAACTCTGCTATTAACATTGATGTACAAATCTCCGTTTGTGACTCAGTTCTAATTTTTCTTTTAATTTAATTTTTATTTTAGTGAAAGTTTACAGAGACTTTGGCTTTCCATTCATACATTGTTGCACATTACCACACTGCTTTTATAACTTAAAAAAGCCCTCTTATTTTAAAAACCTTAAATTGTAAGATTTTTCTCCTTGCTAAAAGTTTCCCATAATCTTAATCCTTAAAGATGCCAAATACTTGACTTTTTAGTCCCTGAGAAGTCTGATTGGTTGAATGCTCAGTGACTCAGAACGTTGGTGGTTCAAGTCTACTCAAAGACCCCAGAGAAGAAAGGGCTGGAGATCCGTTTCTGAAAGACCATGCCCACTGCAACCCCTTGGGAGTGCAATTCAGCCCTGAAACATGTTCAGTTGCCCCAAGTGAGAATCTCAGCATCCACTCGATGGCCACTGTTTCCTGTCTTTACTTTTTAATTTTTCACTTTGGGGATATACTGTGATTTACTTAGGCAGTCCCAGTGTGATGTATTTTGTTTGTTTTACATGTTTCATGTCTAGAAAGGGAAATTTCTGTGATCAATGTCTTTGGGTCTTTTAGTGAATATACTGATTGGTGGGATTAAGGAAATAGTCATGATTATCAGAAAGGTATGAGTTCAATTCAGTCTCTACTCCAAGTTATTAGCATCACTAGTACCCTAGTGGCCTAGTGGTAAGAAGCTGCCCTGCAATCTCAAAGAAATGTGTTTTGAATCCACCAGCTGCTTTGCAGGAGAAAGACGGGCAATCTCCTCCCAGATGATTAAACCGCCCCTGAAAACCTGCTGTAAGGTCAGCTGTGGGTTGGTCCTCACTCAGCGGGACTCAACAACACAAGCGCCCTGGTGACATAGTACATTATGTGTTAGGCTGCTATCAAGAAGTCCTGCGTTCAAATCCACCAGCTGCTTTGCAGAAGAAAGATGGGTAATCTTTTGTAAAGATTCACAGAAACTCAGTGGGCGATCCCCATTAATTAGACTTCTCTGGATGGCAGCAGATAAGTGGATGAGAGTCTTTGTCACTTCGTCTTGGCTTGGGAGCATGACTTTCTGTCCACTGATCTCTCTATGGTGCTGTTGCTGCTGTTGTTGCGCTTCTAGTTCTAATTTTCTAAGAGTGTATTCCAAGTAGTAGCATGACTGATTCATAAGGAGTTCCTATGTCTAACTTTTTGAGGTAGACAAGGTTTCGTTTAACTTGTTTCATACAATAATTCATATGCAGTATTCATTTGCAGTGTTTTTTACAGAATTAATTACTATTGAACTCTGTCTATTATAACTGTCTTTTTGAGTCCCTATTAAATCTTTTCTATTCCTTCACCCCACCATCTGCCCACTAAACTCTGCTGTCTTAGTGATTTTCACCCTTCCCAATTTTCGAGCCTCTTCCTTCTTTCCCCTTCTCTTTTTCCAATATTTATACTGCCTTACTCAGTTGTTATTCTATTTTTACAATAATAGTTTTATGCAGTATTTGTCTTTATAAGATTGAGTCAGTCAGAGTCAGGGGTTGGTTCAGAGTTTGGTACTTTTGTTCTTGATATTTTGTGTTACAGGGTCTTTCCTACTCCAACAAGAGTTAGAATATTGGGAATACAAGCTATTTCCAGCCCTTTTTGTGCCTTAAAAAGTGTTCAGCCTATTTCTTTCCCAGTGTTTTGTGGTGGTGTTTTTTCCTCCTCCCTCTGGCCTCATGTGATTTTCTCTTACACTTCTCAACAAAATGCTTAGGAGATCCTGGATGGCAGAAACAGTTAAATGTAAGACTATAAACCAAAAATAATGTTGAGCATAAATAATATGCTGAGTTCCACCTTACCATTTCATTTCTTTTAAGTCACTGAGTGAAGTCTCCATTCAGAAAGAAAGAGAATATTATATTTCAGGTTAATGAATTAATAGATTGTATTTTTTCCCCTGTGTTGTATCATGGGCCTACGTTAAAGTCTTCTGCTTTAAATGATATAGGAATATGACTAGTAAATAAATTTGGTGTAGATTATTTGCTCATGCCCTGTTTTTTTAGATTATCTACTACAAGTTTATTAAATCAATCTTTTTATGTCTATCTGGTCTGTTGGCTTGGTAGAAAGGTACTAAGTGAAATATATAGGTCATATGTAAATGGGTAAGTTATAGTGAAGTTTTAAAATCAAATAATGGTTTGATGTTTATATTTGTATAGATACAATTGGTTAAAATTTAAATGTTAACTTTCTTTTTCAAGGAATAAATACAAAATAGGAAAATTTTTCTCTCAGTCCTTTTTATACATACCTTTCCCTTAATATCTTTTTTTAGTTGTACCTCATTTTTTTCACAGAAATTCTATGTTATTTTTCCATCCCTAAAAGGAAAATAGGATTCTTAGTTCCACTCTACTGTTTCATTTCTTTAAATCATTTAATGAATATTTATTGGATATTTGAAAATTATAAAATTTCAACATTGTTTATTTCTGTCTGAGGCAGAGCCAGGTTGTTAAGAAGATTTATTTTGTACTTTGAATAGACCTCTGCTCTTTTTGAAAGAGGTGGTAGAGGTAAAAGTGGCAATATTGAAATATTCGCAATATCAATTATTCACTATTTTTGACAGTATTTTCTCATTTTCTTCATATAAAAATATTTGTCCATTTCTCAAATTAGCACCTTGGTTGAAAACAGTTCAATTAGTGTACATTTTGTTGACACATATTAAAACTGTTATCTAAATATTCTGCTAATCAGATTTGTTGGATGACAAATGTTAGTGAGGGAATAACTCAGTCATGTTGAAAATGTGTTCCCAAATGTTACGAACTCATTTAAGAAAAAATAGCCTATTATTAGTTACACTTCATTTCTGTGAGTTAAAGAATTCTCCAAAACTATACCTAGAAGTCTGGTAAATACATCTAAGGAGAGTTGTTTCATTTTCGCTCTATGTAATTGTGTAACATAGTGACTCGTATCTTGGATATTGTTTAGTTTTTGAGCTGTAGTGTCTGGCTTTTAATACTGAATTTTATTTCTTTGCTTCATTGTTTTGTTTTCTTTTGGCCTTTCCCAATCTAAAATTTTAAGTTGTGAAATAGGCCTCATGAAAACATGTCATACCAATAGAGGAGACATTCTGTTGTTAGAACTTTGGTAGAATATTGATGAATCACAGTGAGTTTGTTGCCCATTTTGTCTTTTATTAACATTAGCTTTTTTTCTTTACTAAAATATATAACAAATACTCTTTTAATATTCAACTGTGTTGTGCAACCATCAATTTATTCCCAAAAGTTTTTCAGCATTCCAGACAGGTTATCCGTAATTTGAAAAGTAAAATATAGAACTTTCAGGTGATATTTGAGCAAATGATGATATAGGCAGCATTGACTATTTTTTCAGTTATTATAAAAATCAATATACACAAGTACATACAAATCATACATACATACACCTGTCCTATTTGTGTGGAAATTTGATCACATAGCCTGTAGGAAGTTACTATTTTACTCCTTTTACAAATAGTGATGTTACTTGATTTTGATTAATGTTTTTACCATCAATTTATTATTTTAAATTTCTGAGATCTTATGGCAGTTCAGAAATGTAGATTATCTATTTTATGTGTTATTTCTAACTTGTTTGCTATTTATTCAGACATTTGTTATTCACCCACTGTTTAAAAATTTTGAGACCTTCTTATATCCTCATGTTGTGGTTGATGCTCTAGGTCATAGAGATGAGTATAATAATACTGATACCATATAAAAAATATAGATACCACTATTTGAAAAACAAGATATGCTGTAATGGAATTTTGTAACTGCTGAAATTCAAGTAACACACTAAAGACTTTCTTTTCTTTAAATTTTTTTAATTTTTTTTTTCTTTTCTATAAATTTAATTGCTAGTTGTGACCATGAAGTTAAATATTTAATACAGACACCATTTTTCTTGAACTGCATCTTTGTGACTGTTTTTCAGTGATACTGCTCTTTTTGAGTTTTCAGTGTACCTCTGTTTTACTTAACTGTTATATCATTTACTTCATATATTTGTATAACAAATTTGTTAACAAATAGTCAACCTTGGCAAGATTAATTTTTGATACTGTATATTGATTATTAACCTTAACAGCCATGAATAATTTTTAGTGAGCAGTTTATTTGTTGTAAGTATTTGGAAAATCAGTTTTAAGCAAGTTCCCTAGGTTTTGGGGACATAACAATATAATGAAGTAA